ATGCGCTGCCGATCCGCAAACGGCCACAGAAAATGGGGGGCAGCCGCATGCATCATGGACGTACGGGCGACGTCCATGACCATGCCAATGCGGCGCTCAGCAATCCCATTTTGCTGTGGAGAGTCCGAAAGCGTGAAGGTCTGGCGGATGCCTCGTGCACGACAGTAGGCTCGCAGAAGGCCAGAGGAGAACTCTCCGCCTCGATCAGAGTGCAGACGCAGAACAGGAAAGTCCGAGCCGAAGCTCTGCCTGAGGAGACGAGCTGCGCGGATCCAGTCGATCAACACCTCAGTGACATCACCCTTGCTGTGCAAGGGGAAGACTGTGGTGTAACGCGAGTAGTCGTCAACCACCAGCAGAAAGTAGCGCTCGTGACCCTGTCCACGGACGCGGGCTGGGCCCCACACGTCCATGTGAAGCGTCTGCAGCGGGGCCTCTGTCGGAGGAAACTGGGAGGAGTGAGGGGCAACACGCTGCCGCCCCTCGACACAGGGGACGCAGGTAGGGGCAGGCCCCGGAGGAAGGGGAGGGAGGGACCGGGGAAGACCAGAGACAAGGACACGGGAGGCCATGCCTCGGAGACGAGGCAGGGAGGGATAACCAAGGCGGTGGTGCCAGAGGAGAGTCTCGTGAGACAGGAGGCGACACGAGCAGGGGGCAGACTCAGGACCAGACCTGGACGCTGCAGCAAACACCTGACCCGACGCAGCTGCCTGACCAGACGCAGTGACTGGAGGAGACTCAGTGGTCAGTGTGTACAGGTTCGACCCCGGCCGATGTGTAAACGTGGTCAAGTGTCGGCCCGTCCGAGCGTCCGTGCAGTGGGTCACCCGCTGGCTCGCAGGAGTGAACTGGTGAACCCCCGCATCTTGTAGGTAAGCACCACTCACCAAGTTCGTAGAGAACGAGGGGAGGTAAAGACCAGACAGGGTGCCAGAGGGGGCTGCCGGACACGGGAGGACAGTGGAGAAGTGAGCAAGGACAGGACCCCCAGAGGGGTCTGCTAGAGAGACTGCAAATGGCCGACCAAGCGGCGTGAGTGTGGTGCTGTCTCGAAAGAAGGAGCGAGAAGCCCCCGAGTCAAGGGTGAAGGTGTGGGAGGCCGAAGCCGACGCAGTACCTGAGAGAGCAGACTCACCAGCACCTGAGGAAGCAGACGCACTGGCACCTAGAGTAGCAGCCTTGCTAGCACCTAGAGTAGCAGCCTCACCAGTACCTAGAGCAGCAGTCCCAATGCCCGGGTCGGGCGAAAAACACCGGTAACAGTCACCCTCATCACTAATAGTCACAGCATACATGGCAGCAAGAATAGCATCAAAGTCAAGGTCAAAGATAGCTACTCCCGCCCTAGACAGCTCGCCCCAGCGAGGGATCTCAGTGGCCTCATGAAACTGGTGACGCCAAGCGTCCGTCAGGCGGCCAAAGCAGCGCTGGGTGGAGTGCGCACCCCCGCACGGCTCACCCGTGCGGTCGCCGGTGCGTAGGACGTAGGTGCACGGACCAGTAACCCCCACCCTGCTGGCGTGCAGCGTACCACTCACGAAGCTGCTGAGGGGGGGGGATCTCACAAGTACGCTGTTGCTGCTGGCGCTGACCACCACCAGAGCCGACCCTCTGCGTAGCGCCACCCTGACCAGCTCCACCTCCTCCGCTGCCGCCTCCTCCACCGCCGCCACCTCCACCGCCGCCACCTCTGCCACCTCCGTTCCCACCGCCATCGCCTCCGCCGCCTCCACCTCCACTGCCGCCACTGACGGCCCCACCCCCGCCACCACCCCCACCGCCACCCCCACCCCCTCCGCCGCCTCCACCGCCGCCTCCACCGCCCCCGCTAGCTCCTCCAGCGCCCGTGCCCCCCTTGCCCTTGCCAGTGCGGCGTCTCCCGCTAGGGGCAGACGCCGCACCGACCGACTCAAGACCAACGAGGTCGGCCGCAGCAGCAGAGGCAACAGAGGGCAAGAGAGGAGAGGGGGAGCACCCCTCAAAGACAGGGGCACGAGGGTCACCACGAGAGGCTCCTACAATGACTATGCTCTTCTGTGCTGCTAGGAGGCGCTCCTCGAGGAGGTCAACGGTGAGGGTGGTGGGGTAAACCGAGAGGAAGTGGTCCCTGACCGGGCGAAGGGTGTCAGGGAGCCGGGTGACTATGTAGTAGAGGGTGATGTACATAGGGGGGGGGTTCTTGGCGCAGAACTCAGCGGGAAGGGCCACGCGGCAGCGAATGTCACTAGTGCGAAGGTGCGAAGGTGATGGACATAGTGCTGAGGGGAGTGATGGACGCGGCATGCTACATAGATGATGTCATCATCTTCAGTCTGAATGCAGAGGCACATGTGTGAGATGTGGCGGCTTCGCGGTCAGCAATTGAAGCAGCAAGACTGACTTGCCATCTAGGGAAGTGCCGCTTTGGCCATAGTAGTGTGGCATACCTGGGATGTGATATGGCAAGAGGGGAGCTCAGTATCCAGAAAGCCAAGGTAGAGGTGTTGGAAAGGGTGAAGAGGCCCAAGGACAGGACCAGTCTGCGAGCTCTGTTGGGGTTTCTGAACTACTAACGCAAGTTCATAAAACGAATTCAGCAGGAAGGCCGCTCCATTGAACATGTTGCTAAGGGAGGAGCAGAAGTGGCAGTGGGAGGAGCCACAGGAGAAAGCCATGCGGGGTCTGATGGAGGCGGTGAAGGCTGGAGCAGTGCTGAAGCTACTAGATGCACAGGAACCATTCGTACTCTACACCGACAGGAGCAGCGTAGGGATGGGAGAACTGCTGAGCTAGACAGACAAGGGGTTGGAGAAAGTGGTGGTCTTTGCCAGCAGGACATGCAGCCCTGCTGAGGCCAACTACTCGTCCTACGAAGGGGAAGGACTGGCGGCAATCTGGGCGGTGGGCCATTTCAGGGTGTATCTGCAAGGGCAGCACTTTACCTTGGTAACAGACCATCAGCCACTACTGTGGTTGATGCACAATCAGACGCTGACAGGCAGGAACGCGCGGTGGGCGATGAAGTTACAAGAATACTACTTCACAGTGAAGCACCGGCCGGGCAAGACCATGAAACACGTGGACGGACTCTCCAGGAATCCACCACGCAACGCACATGAGCTGGACTAGAGCAAGAACCGCCATCGCCTGTGCTAACTGCCATGATGAGCGAACGAAAGCAAGAAGGAGAGCAGCGGAGGGGAGCAGCGGATGTGTGGCAGGATGAGGAGACCCTGGCGTGGATCAAGGGAGAAACGGCAGAGGATGGGGGAGCAGGAGCAAGGGCTAGAGCTCGGGGGCAACATTACATGTGGTTTCAGGGACAGATGCAGCTGCAGACGAAGGATGGGTGGAAAGGGGTGTCAACGCCGACTAAAAGGGAGAACATAATATCAAAGGTGCACAACAAGCTGGGTCACTACAGGCCCTTGAGGACCCAGCAGCTGCTGTAGACTGGGTGGTGGTGGGCAGGGATGCGTAAGGAAGTAAAGGAATGGGTGGAGAAGTGCGAGCTATGCTGCAGGAACAAAGCCAGCCTGCTGAAGAGCTAGGTGGAGCTCCAGCTCCTAAACATCATGGAGTTAGGGTACCGCTGGTCCCTAGACATGGTGGGCGAGCTGCCAGTGTCACGGAGGGGCAGGAGGTACGTTCTGCTCATGATTGAGCACGTGAGCAAGTGGGCAGAGGCGAGACCGCTAGTGGCAAAGACTGCAGGAGTGGTGGCAGAAGCATTTGAAAAAATGGTGCTGACGCGGTTCGGGGCGTGTGGCGAGGTGCTGACTGACCAAGGGACTGAATTCCAAGGGGAATTCAAAGAGTTGCTGGCTTCTAATGGCATCCAACACCGCACTACATCCAGGTACCACCCCTAGAGCGATGGGCTCATGGAACGGCTGGTACAGACAGTGAAGAAGGGACTGCGGGCCTACGGGGAGGCAAATTAAGGGGATTGGGACAGCAAGCTGGCGTGGGTAATGGCGGGATACAAGTTCAGCAAGCAAGCCTCACTGAAGGACGTCTCCCCATATTTCGTGCTCTTTGGGAAGCAGCCCATCATGCCAGTGGATGCGCCGAGTGTTGGATGCACGTCATTCTAAGTGCATGTCATCCTAACGTCCTGCCGAGTGCTCGTGCTATTCATGCGTGCATTATTTGCATGAGCATATGTCACTGTGCATGGCTATTGGATATTATCATCGCTGTGTTTTTCTCCAAGTTTAAATGCTCGATCATGCAGGAGAAATCCAGAGCTTTCTAACGATACCAAGATCGCATTATTCTGACAAAGATCACCCACGTTACAAGATTTCCAAGACTTGGATTTCTTATTACCTTTTGGGGTTATATCTAATTTGGGTGATTACTTGGACATGAGTATAAAGAGATCTTTGGTTGGGTGGTTAGGAAGGCAACTTTGACTTTTGGATTGGGATGGCTATAAGTTTCTAGCATGGGTTGCAAATGTTGCAACACCTAGGCAAAATCCAACTAGATTGGATTTTGCAAGTGACACCTCAAGGATCTCACGATGAGGGTTGCATCCTTTCTGCTAGAAAGGTTCCTACCATCCTTCCATAGCTCTTGGGGAACCCCTTCCCTCTCATGGTTCTGTTGGAATCCCCAACTCCAACTATTATATGCTTTAATGTTTGTACTTCCTCCAACATTCTATTCATGCGGTTGCTGGACGTTTTTACTTGGTTCTCACTCTCCAGACCATCTTTCAAGAGCGTTCAGTTGAATAATGAGTTCGTTTTAAGTTCTCAACATTACGGATCCTGAACAACAAGTGGTATCAGAGCGGGTAGTCGACTTTGAGATGACGAATCGTTGTGAATTCTCAACCAATGTTGACGAGTGAGACCCGTTTCTAGTATCCCTGCTTGTGAACTTTCGATTGATGGTCCAACCGCTTTCTAATTCAAATCATCCAATCCGCGACGGCGATTTCTGTAAAGTCAAAATTTCTGGCAGAATTCTCTCCAAACGATTTCTCAAGTTTCCACCAAGGCCTCAATATGACTGGAACAGACTCCAGAGGTGCTAATGGCGAGAGAGCTAGAGATAGAGAGGCTGGAGAGCAGGGGGGAGTTGTTGGTGGAGGAGTGGGGACTCACCAACCAGCCAACCCTACGCTACCGTCATCTTCTACACCATCTCCTACAACTGTGGATCCCGTAAAGACGTTTTCTATTAAGAAGTTCATGGGGGAGGACAACGAGCACTGGAGCTTCCGTATGAAGCTGACGTACACCCAATACAAGCTATTGGATCTGGTGGAGGGGAAGGAGAAGATGCAGGAGGCCGCGGAGCTAAAGGGAGCATGGATGAAGCGATCGTTCGACGCGTACATGCTTATGGTGCAAGCGGTTGGCGGGCGACAACTTGACCACATCAAGGACCTCTTGGGTGATCCAGTGTGTGGCCCCAAGGCTTGGAGGAAGCTTCTCGATGTGCACTCACCGACACATGCGACCGGCATCGTGCTACTCGTGCGGCGGCTGCGCGACATCAAGTTCATTGATGGAGAGCCGATGCAACTGGTGTTGGATGAGATGCGGGACATCTTCACAAGGCTCCAAGGCGGCGGTGTGGTGTACCCGGAGCTCCTGCAATGCGTGGAGATCGTGATATGACTGCTGGATTCGTGGTCTGCCCTTGCCATCAACCTCAACTCTCAACAGCCCCAGTGGAGCGTGGATTACATTCGCGTGCGCATCGTAGAGGAAGACTTGCGGCGGCGTAGTGTGGAGCGCTCGGAGGAGGGGGCTGGCTATGGAGTTGGAGGTGGAAAAAGTGGCTTCAAGAAGAAGTGGAAGGGCAAGAACAAGGATAATCCTAAGGAGGATGGCGGTGGGGGTCAAGGGGAGGTGTGCTTCTACTGCAAGAAGCGCGGACATCGTTGGCGGAAGTGCTACCAACGACCCAAGGATTGGATCCCGCCTTCATCAAGCAACCAGCATGGTGGCAAGAGGAGTGGGGGAGCCATGTGAGCTAGTGGAGAGGAGAAAGATGAGGAGAAAGGCGGCAAATCTGAGGAGCGGAAGGCCGGGTTCTTCTTCGTGAACGAAGGTGCAATAGACCTCGCTATGGCTCCTAAGGTTCTCCTACATTCCCTCACCGATTGGGTGATTGACTCGGAAAGCTTCTGGCATATGACTCCTCGTACGGACCTACTCGATTAGATTCAGCCCGCACCCATCTCTACGGTCACATCCGCGACCGTGGTGGAGAGTTCCTTGGAGCGGAATTCACCAAGTTTCTCAAGAGGAACGGCATCCAACACCAGCTGATCTGCCCAGGAACACCGCAGCAGAACGGCATTGCTGAGCGTGCCAACAGGACCATTGGCGAGGCGGCTAAGACCTTGTTGGGGGCTGCTGGGATGCCCTACAAGTTCTGGCCTGAAGCTGTTCGCCATGTTATCACGGTCACGAACAGGGTCTTGACGCATGTTGGCGATAAGCATTGGTTGCCGTATGAGCGTTGGCTTACGAAGAAGCCATCCATTGACATGCTGCGGATGTGGGGCTGCATGGGGCTTGTGATGGTGCCTACGGAGCAGAGGCACAAGCTGGAAGTTGCTGCTGTGTGGGCTGTCCATCTTGGGATGGCTCCTGACTCAAAGGGGTTGCTGATTTGGGACCCCAAGAGTATGAGGACGCTGGTTAGTCATGACGTCAAGTTTGTGGAGGACGTTATGTACAAGGACTGGCAGCAGCAGCAGTAGCAGGTGCAGATTGGCTTGCATCTGCAGGACATTGAGCGGTCTACAGTGGAGGAGGTTCAGCTGCACCTTGATGAACTCCCTGGGTCAGAGCTGACCAGTTACCACAGTGGCAGTGGTGAGCAGCAAGGTGCTGGTCCTGCTGCGGAGGGGGGGTTGGAGGATGAGTCGGCACGTGTGGACTCACCAACTCAGCCCGAGCCTGCTGCAAATGCCAAGGTCACCAAGAGGAGTGGGCGGAGAGGATCTTCACCACATGGGCAGCAAACTGCAACCCACGAAAAGAGAGTGGCAGCAGCACCTTCAAGGCTGAAGTATAGCCGTTTGGAAGGACCCAAGCATGGTGCCATGGCAGTTCAAGTGGATGAGGGAGATGATAAGGAGATGGCCTTCTGCTTCTTCACACCCCTGCCTGGAGAACCAGCCATATTGGAGGAGGCACTGAGTGGACCCCAGAAGGAGTGGAAGGCTGCCATGGATGTGGAGTTCAACAGTCTCATTGAGAATGCGACTTGGGAGCTTGTTGAGTTACCCGAGGGGCGACGGCCGATCAGCAGCAAGTGGGTCTTCAAGGTGAAGAGTGGAGCTGATGGTGCGTTGGAGCAGTTCAAGAGCCGCTTGGTCGCAAGGGGTTTCAGCAGAAAGAGATGGTCGACTTCGGGGAGATCTTCGCTCCCGTTGCTAAGCCAGTGACACTAAGGACTTTGTTGGCTGGTGCAGCTGTGAAGGGATGGCACGTGAAACAGATGGATATCACCACTGCGTTCCTCAATGAAGTGCTGCTAGAGGATATCAATATGGCGCAGCCCGACGGTTATGAGGATGGGACCAGCCGGGTGTGCAAGCTCAAGAAGGCCATCTATGGCCTTAAGCAAGCGCCCAAGTGTTGGTACGAGAAGCTGGAGGAGGTGCAGCTGAGTGGAGAGTTTAAGACGTCCCAAGTGGGTCATAGGTTGTTTCTGCTTGGAGAGGAGGAGCAGATGCTTTTGCTACTGGTGTATGTCGACGACATACTGCTGTTCTCACCTTCCATGGAGCAGATTGAGAGGACATAAAAGCCGCCGATGGACAACATTAAGTGCAAGATGCTGGGGGATGTCCACTACTACTTGGGGCTGCAGATTGAGCGGATGTTAAGAGGAGGTGGCTGAAGATGCATCAGTCACACTACATCTCTGGTGTCATGGAGCGGTATGGTGTGACTGGGGGTCGCACTGTGATGACACCGTTTTTTGTGGGCTTCAAACTAAGAAGGCAGCTTTGGAGGATGATGTACTCGATGATGAGCAGCAGAATGAGTACCAATCACTCATTGGGAGTGTGATGTATGCTGTTGTGCATACGCGACCTGATGCTTCATTCGGAGTGGGGCAGTTAGCCAGAGTTGTGCAGCGGCCCACTGAGGAGAGTGAGATGGCTCACTCCAAGAAGCAGAGTGAGATTGCTCAGTCTTCCGGAGAGGCAGAGTACATGGCGATGTATCATGCCATCAAGGAGACTGTGCTTCTGAGGAAGCTGCTCGAGGACATGGGAGCTGAACAGCAAGGATCTACACCACTATTCTCGGACAGCGAGGCTGCTGTTGGCATGGCCAATAATCCTATCATGAATGGGCTGAACAAGCACATGAAGATTAAGTGGCATTAGGTGAGGCAGATGGTGAAGGAGGGGATGATTGAGCTTCACAATGTGAAGGCTAGCAAGCAGGCGGCATATTTTCTCACCAAGAGACTTCCCGAGAGCGCACATTGGAAGTGTGCTAAGATGTGTGGCATGGCATTGCACTAGTGTGGGAAGCAGAGTCATGAGTGCATGTGTGTTTGTGTGCATGAGAGTTTGCATGTGTGTGAATGTGTGTGCATGCAGTCCGTTAGTCTGAGCGAGGGTTTGTTGGATGCATGTTATTCTGAGTGCATATTATCCTAACGTCTTGCCGAGTGCTCGTGCTATTCATGCGTGCATTGTTTGCATGAGCATATGTCATTGTACATGGCTGTTGGATATTATCATCTCTGTGTTTTTCTCCAAGTTTAAATGCTTGATCATGCAGGAGAAATCCAAAGCGTTCTAACGATACCAAGATCGCCTTATTCCGACCAAGATCACCCAAGTTACAAGATTTCCAAGACTTGGATTTCTTATTACCTTTTGGGGTTCCAATTTGGGTGATTACTTGGACATGACTATAAAGGGATCTTTGGTTGGGTGGTTCGTAGGGCAACTTTGACTTTTAGATCTGGTTGGCTAGAAGTTTCTAGCATGGGTTGCAAATGTTGCATCACCTAGGCAAAATCCAACTAGATTGGATTTTGCATGTGACACCTCAAGAACCTCATGATGAGGGTTGCATCCTTGCTACTAGGAAGATTCCTACCATCCTTCCCTAGCTCTTGGAGAACCCCTTCCCTCTCATGGTTCTCTTGGAGTCCCCAACTCCAACTATTATATGCCTTTATGTTTGTGCTTCCTCCAGCATTCTATTTATGCGGCTGCTGAACGTTTTTACTTGGTTCTCACTCTCCAGACCATCTTTCGAATTGGAGACGGTAGCTAAGCTTAAGGTACACAATCCTATAAGGCGGATTTGCGTTTAGTTGAGTAATAATTTTGTCGTACGTTCTCAAATGGACAGATCCTGAACAACACCAAGATTGTAGGCAGACAGCATAACAGTAAGGACTGTTGAGAAATGGGTGGCACTGGCTGATGCCCGAGCCAGGTACCTAGAGAAGATGCTACTTACCACAATGGAGAGCTTAAAGGTAGCACAGCTGCGTGACATCCACCACTACAAGCAGCAGCAGCTAAGCAAGATGCAGGAGAAGAAGCCAGCAGAAGAGGAGGGACAGGCTATGTACATACGACGTGCAAAGCAAGACGGGCTGGATGTGGGAGTGTCTCAGCAGAGGTGGGAGGTGAAGGAGGTGCGAGAGTCAGGTGTACTGGTGGTGGAGGATGCAGAAGGGAAACAGGTCATGGATCATGTCACTAACGTGGCTCACGCGGGGAAGCAGAAGAAGGCAGCGGCCTATATTGGTCCCATGACCAGGGTGAGGACGGCAGCAGCTGGTCATGGGAGGGGGCAAGAGAAGTAACTGGAAGACCACACCAAGGAAGGCAGGAACAAGAGGCACCGACAGAGAAGTGACAGCAGAGAGAGGAAGGAAGCAGAGTGAGGAAGGAAGTAGAGAGAGTAAGGAAGCAGATTGAGGAAGGAAGGATGCAGGGAGAGGTTCACGAGTGATGCAAGTGGCGAATGAGTGCAATCAAGAGAACAAAGTGAGAAGGGAAGAGTGAACAGAGCAGTCAAGAAGGGTGTGAGCAGAGCAGTCCAAGAGGAGTAGGAGGTGGGAGAGTTTCCGACAGCTGACACATCTGTATGATTGTGAAGGGTAAGGAGAGAGCGTAAGGGGGATGAAAATATTTTATATATTGTATATAGCGAGTCAGCGAGGTACACGGATGGGAGCCGAAGGGTCAGATAGAATTTCACGAAGCGAGGGGCAGAGGGTCGGAGGATTGCATGGGAAAGAATGGGGCGGTACTTACGTAAGCGAGAAGCTGGTGGCAGAGGGAAGCAACACAAAACAAGGCAGCGGCAGCAGGAAGGCAGTTTCACCGCGAGCAATGGATGAGTGTACGAGTGCATACGTGTTTGTTTCCATATGTGAGCAGGATTGCTCCAAGGAGCTAGCTGGAGCTGGATGATGGCAGCTGGAGGCAAAGTAGCAAGGGCTGGGAATGGGTGGCAAGAGGCAGCACGGTTGCAAGTCTGCTCGTAGAGGCTCATAGCCACTAGTAAGTAGACTAGGATGATGGGATTGAGTCATGGAGGCGGAAGAGCTGGTAGAATAGGCGGAACCTTGGTTGCAATTCTTATTGCTTATATGTTTCCCTTTTTACACGAATGTTTTGCAACAATATGATCAAATAGTGATGATAGGGTGATATGACGAGCAAGACAGTAATTTATGAAGCCATTGTGTGTGAAGGAGCAAAGAGCTCATCAGAGAAGTAACTGGAAGACCACATCAAGGAAGGCAGGAACGAGAGGCACCGACAGAGAAGTGACAGCAGAGAGAGCAAGGAAGTAGAGTGAGGAAGGAAGGATGCACGGAGAGGTTCACGAGTGATACAAGTGGTGAATGAGTGCAGTTAAGAGAATAAAGTGGGAAGGGAATAGTGAGCAGAGCAGTCAAGAAGGGTGTGAGCAAAGTAGTCCAAGAGGAGTACACAAGGAGGTGGGTGAGTTTCCGACATTTACAC